ATTGATCTTTGAAAACCGGTCTGGGGGGGGTGCCGTCTCTCCGCCTCTCGCGGTTCCACAGCAGTCGAAAGGGGGGTGTTGAAAGTCGTTGCAATGAATGGGGAGAAACCTGTTGGAAATTGGGCATAATTTTTTGGTCTGGGAAGCCAAATGCACTGATGTTATCAGTGATACCAACAGGTGCTTGCTGGTTCTGATTGGGCCGCGTGTGTGTATTATGTACCCATGTTAACAAAGGAGAACACGTAAAACAAAAATCCTGCAGCAGTGAAGCAAACAAACCAGAGCGCACAACACGTCGCTGCTCCCGTTCGTGTGTCGGCATCAATTAACCGCCCTGTTCCGACAGACTGTTGTTGTTTTTGTCTATACATTAAAAAACAGTCCTGATCTCTCTACCTAACACCTTCATCTGCACTATAATAGTCTAGGATGCGTAAGATACCACACCCTCTGGCCGATTTCCAAAGCTCGTCACCTCACGACCAAGGAATGCCAAAAATCATTTGATAGGTTTTCGGAAAGCTCTCTCCACGAAGCGCTTGCAACGACGCAATGCGTCCAAGTTCTTGCTGCAGAGTATAGGCAGGGCCCAGGACCACCCCACTTGCCTTGAAAAGAGGAGGGCGAGGAATGCGATGCTCTGCTGTTGCGTGCGAAATTTTGTGAGGTGTGGGGCGGACAAACCGCACACACCCAACGCCCCACCCGCTCCGTCCATACACTATTTACACCTTAGGCCACTACGCATTACATATTACTAGCACGTGCCAACAGAGGAAGGGCTTATAGGCGGGCAGGTCCACGGTGCCGTTGACACGCAAGCAATGCTTGCTCGCTGCTCACCACTGCGTGTCGTCCTTGGTGCTGGCGCTTTCGATGGCCTTGAAAGAGCGGTAGGCCGGGTACACGTATCCCCCCAGGTTGCTTCACGGGTGGGTGAAAAAACAGAGGCAGAGGCGCGTGAGCAGAAAAGGCAAACAAGGGGGAAACGACTGCAAAGTTGGCGCCCGAGTGCGGAGCAGTCTTCACGGCCGTTTACCTGCTCCATGTCTGCAATTTCAAAAAGCGGGTGGGCGTGTCTGTTGTGTCTGGTATGCAGCAAGAAAACACACACCAGCCACCACCACCACCGCCACCAGCCAGCCCTCCAGAAACTCTCCACCTCTGAATATGGTTAAACCGCCGAAATGAGCGGCATTTTCCTCTCGGGTCGTTGGGCACGCCAAGACGCCCACATGATTTGCTAGACAGCCGCTGGCTGTTTGTCTGCGCTGCTGTTGCTGGGCGGTTTTGCTACAGCAGTGTCGACAGAACACAGAAAGAGCGCGCGAGTTCCTAAATTGCATCTTCCTTCCTCACCAGATCAGGCTCGCTCCGAAGCCCATCAGAAGGCAAGACAACAGGATCGACCCGGCGCCAAGCACGAGATATTGCTTCGGGCAGTTGGTCGTCTCCTCCGCCTTGCACAGGATGGGGTACTTGCCCAGGTCCTTACCGAACTTGTCCAGCATGGTGTTGAGCTTGTCCATGGCTGCTGCTGCTGCTGCTGCTGCTTCTGCTGTTGCTGGTTGTGTGTGTTGCTTTCCGTTTCTTTCGTCACGCGTTGAGAGCAGGTTGCTGTTCCTTCTTCAGAAAAAAAGAGTTCAAGCTGGTGACGGGTGTGACGGAAAAGGAGAGAGAGCGGCAGGGGGCGAGCAAGAGACGGAACGTCGCCGGCACAGAGAGAAGAACGACGTCAGGCACGTCCAATCGAAGGGGTCAATGGTTTTGTAGGTACCACGTGGCATAGAGGCGTCATCAGGGACGCTGGACGAAGAGGAACAGGCTACTTTTTCGCCGTTGCACATCAAACGGCGGCGTAAAAAAGGGGAGCCGGTGGAACACAGCACACGGCGCTGGGAATAAAATACGTTGTCTCGGGGAATGGAAAGCAAACTGAAACTGGTTACGGGCCATCCCTAAAGCGAACCTCTGGGCTTACCTGCAGCGTTGTGCGCGGTCAGGGACAAAGGAGAGGCCAAAATCGGTGTTGTCGCGTGCACGGTCAAACAAATCATTTCCACCAAACCAGACCGAGGGATTCGTCAAGCGGGGATGATAAAGTAGTGTCCCCGGGGTGCAATCTCTCGTCCTCGGTTGTGCCGCGTGTGTCCGCCCGGCCTGAGGCCTGAGGCACAAGGCACAAGACTCGCCCAGATACAAACACAAAACTCTCTTCCCCAGTCCTTACTTCACACATGGCGTCGAGATTCAAGCGTCAGCGAGGTGAGATAATTTCGTCCATCAGTTAAATAGTGCTCCAATCCCGCTTCGTAGTCAACGGAAGTTACGCCGCATTGGTGAATTTACGATTTACCTATTTACACTAGAGGTATGCATGTATGCATACTGATGTACGTATGCCTAGATATGCATAGATGTCTGCTGCGGTAATGGCGCCTGCATTCCCAGTCTAATATTGTAGGGGCTGGGAAAGCTTCATAACTCTACTCGAGACTGAGAGTTCGCAGCAGTATCTGATATTACTGGCTGTAGCTGTACATCCTAACCTACTACTGCTGTAGCTGCTCTCACGATTGTAAAATTGCAATGTCAAAGTTGTCTCGTAAACGTTGAGAGAGATTATGTAGCGAGAACCAAGGACTATGCATACAACTTCCCACTAACCAGCTGCTGTTGGGCAAAAGCTAGAGCAGCAGTCGTATATAGCTGTCGTACAAGGGGCCGGTGATTTAAAATCAACTCCCGGTATATTTTAGGGAGCGTGCAGGTGCGCGGCGCCTCTCTCTTCTCCGTAAAGTACTCGGGGTAGCGGGAGGGAAGGTTCTTTTACGTAAGCCGCTTCACCCCCCCACCCCCCCCCGCCGTCCCTGCAATACTTGGGTGTTTTTTTTTGTCTCTCCTCATATGTTACAGCCAAGGCGTTGAACCCTGCATCAGCAGGAGGAGCAGCAACGTCCACTCCGGCGTTCGGAGACGAGGACGACTACCTGTCCGCGTCGTTTGTGGTCGAAGAACCGAACAAGCCGCGCGGCAAGCGAGCGCAGCAAGAGGCAGACCCAGAGCGGGGAAGAGGCGAGTCGCGTGGTTCGACCCGCATCGGGGGGGCGTTGCAAGCCCGGTGTGCGTGAGCTTTGCCTATTTGAACCAAAAAGAACTGCGTGGGCAGGCGTGGTTCGACCCACATCGGGGGGGCGTTGCAAGCCCGGTGTGCGAGAACTCTGCCTATTTGAACCAAAAAGAACCGCGTGGGCAGGTCTGAACAGCGACGAGTTGTCATGCAGGGTCATCAACCCGATTTGTCTTTGTCCCCAATTGCTGTCAAGAACGCATCCACACCGGTAGAGGCGCGTACAACGATGCAGCTGTACGATGGAGGTACCAGGGCGTGCTGGTGGGAGACGATCCCTTGGTGGGGGGGGCACTCTGAGCCAATCCACATCAATCGAAGCGCTTTGATCGTCGCGTTTTTGCCGGGGCTTGTGGGATACCCAGCAGTTAGCAATGGCAAAGCTTTTACGAATGATAATCCGAATCGTCTCCTGTCGAGCGCTGGGAGAAGAAAAGCTACGAATGGGTTGGTACAAAATTGTGCAGGGGGGCGTTTCGTACGTGTTCCAGAGAATGTTGCTTCCCGAGATTCTTACAGATCCTTCTGCCTGAACAATCCCGTGGCCCTCCCGCGGCCCTCTCCGATGAACTCTGTTCACCGGCAGCGACGATATCGCGAGTGATAAGTTACGGAGCAACGTGAGCGGGCTCTTGCAGACGTGTGCAGCTACGTTTTCGCCCCACGCTGATGATTCGCGACACAGCTAGTGTCGCAGTTGCTGGGCAGCTGGGCGCGTCGTCAAAACTAGGGACATCGCTGGTCTAGTCGCTGATGTACTCTCTTGGGAATTGTTGCAGAGGCTGACCCTCCCCAAGTCGGGTGCAGCTGAGATATGACTACCAGATGCAGGCGTCACTCTTTATATGTATCGTTCGTTCGTGGAAGGGGGGCACCCTGTGTAGGACCCTTCTGTCGTCCGTTCCATTATTTATCGAAATATTTTGAGGAAGCGCGCTTCTTCGTAATCATGCGTATCGTTTTTAGTCTCGTCTTGCGGTATCGCACGAAGTGCTACTGCTGTAAAGCATGTGTATTATAGTTTACGGCTGGTACGGGATTGCGAAACCTGTCCGCCGGTTTCCCATCGCGTCCTCAGCGCCCCCAACGAATATTTCACCATTGTCACTCCGGCCCGCCATCGCCGCCGCTGCCGCCGCCGCCGCAGTGCTGTCCAAGAAAGATATCGCCAAGAAGATGGAGGACAGAAGAGAGGAAGGGTTGCAGCAGAAGATAGGGGAGGTGCGTCACCAACTCCTGCGGGACGGAGCACACCGTGTAGTAGATGGGAGCGTCGACCTGTTCCTCTCGAAGAAAGGATTTGGGGCAAAGGGGAATTGTGCTGTGTTGTTAGCTTTTCAAGCGAGCCATTCGAAAGGCGAGAGGGTGCAAATAAGAGAAGATAACAGCGGTGTTATCGTCGTAGCGGCAGCAGACATGCCAACCCCCCCCCTTCTGCGGAGCATGGCGTACCCTGAGCTCACCCAAGCCCGTTTCACCAACCCTTGACTGACGTGCCGCAAAAACACAGGAGAACGCAGGCTTTAAACTGCTCATGAAGCTGGGGTACAAGGGAGGGGGGCTCGGCAAGGACGGCGAGGGCACAACGAAGCCGTTGATGCCGGAGCTGAAGCAGGGTCGGGCAGGGTGAGATTTGGGAACCGGGGTTCGGGAGACGGATGAGCCCATGCGTGTCTGTGGAACGTCACCGTACACCCAAAATGGAAATCTCACCCTTACGAAGGCGCGGCAATGGGTGCCTCAACCGACCCAGGCAATGAGGGAAATATGATTTGCCTTCTGCCGACGTAGGGGTAGTGGAGCGGGTGTTGTGCCCAGGCTTGGTATCACGCAAAGCCGACGCCAACGCCTGCCGGCTGCCGCTGCTTGCCGTCCTCCGTGCTGTGCAGGTTGGGCAAGGAGTCGGAGTCCAAGCGAAAAAAAGAGGAACAGAAAGAGCGGGCTAAAAGGAAAGCTTCCCGAGACGCCGAACAGGAGGTAAAGTGGCCTCCTCTCTCGTGTGCTGGGTGATGTTCGCCACCTCCCGTAGGACTAGCTACTGTGTAGAGCAGCAGCGGGTGTGCTTCCCTTCGTTTTGGCCTGGTGGGTTCTCTCGATCATGGGTGTGGTAAGCCGGAAGCTGTCGCCTTGTTTCAGGTTCCCGGGGGGAGGCGACGGTGCCGACACAGAGCTGCCAAATAGGCTGAACGTGCGAGCATACACAGAGGCAAAAGACAGAACTAGGCGTGGTACAAGAGACAAGTGATGCTGCCAACTCGTCCCAACAAGCTCTGCCTTTGTCGCGGTGGTATGTATGTATGGGACAGGGCAAACACGGCTCCCAATAGCTGCCATTTCCACCCGTATTGTTGTCAAACGAGGAGATGTCATTCTTTCTTACGACTCTAGTCGTCGATGCTGCTCGGGGAAACGTATACACACAGGTAGCAGGTAGTGCCGCTGAGACTGAATCCAGTCCCCGCCCGCCTTCACTCGCCGCAGTTCTCATCGCACGACGATTTAGTTTGTTGTGCAAGGTTTTAGGCAGCAGTGGGAGTTCTCCTCTCATTAGTGCCGCTGCCAATACACAACCGTTCGAGGGAATTGTTTTTTGTTCGGCTGGTGGTGCCACGGTCGTGTGTGCCCCGCTGTCGTGGGGGTCCCTGCCCTTTCGAGCAATGGTCGCGCCGGGCTTGTCCCTGATACCACTCCCATCCGTGCAAACAACGCCGGGACGTCGGGACCACCGCCATAACGTACGTACGAACTCGATTTCGCAAGGTGCAAAGGCGGGAACACTTTCGCATGTCCAAGGCGGCGCACTTCGTGGATAGGCGCTTGCAGCAAGACCTCAGCCGAGCCCGGAGGCTGGTCGAGAGCCTGGACGAAACTTCGGGAAGGACAAGGTGAGGCGAGGCATTGAAAGAACTGTCTCTGCTTCCGGAGAGTGTGTGGGTGGGCCACGTTTTGTTGTCCCCGCCGTTTGTTTCGTGGTGTCGAGCCTGCGTGTGTCTCGCGCCGCCAGCGGCGCGATATGGTGAGCCTGCTTGCAGGAGCACCGTCTTGGTCTGGTCTGAACCGCTTGTTTTGGTGGATGGATACTGGGACGCACGGCCTCTGATTCGATATGATTATGAATACGCGGGGATCCGTGGGAGATTCGATGGGGTGCCGGCGGGCCATGCACTGCTGTGGTCTCGTGTTTCCTGATCCTTTTCCGTCTTTGTCTTGACGACCGTCGTTGCACTTTTTTTTTGTACAACAGAAACTCTTCACTCCCGAACGCAAGTTGGAAGACGCTGGCGCAGAGTTATATCCACCACCACCACCTCCGGCAATACCCACCTTTCTGATGTTTGCTCTCTCTCTCTCTCTCTCTCTCTCAACCTTGGAAGGTCGATCATGTGGCCGGACGAAGAGCAGGAGAGCTTAGACGAGGATCCCAATGGCGGCGGCGGCGGCAGTTACTTGAACGACCAGGGCCGGAGGGGCGGCATCGACACCACAGCTGGGCCTTTACAAGCATGGGATGGAACGGACAGCAGAGGGGAGACCCTCTCTAAGGAGCGTAAGGAAGCAAAGGGGGAGGCAAGCACTAGCGAGGAAGGGATGGGGGAGGACGGGGGGCTTCGAGAAGAGTGGGACCTCATGACGGCGGATGAAAAGGTGGGCGTATGTTGCCGTCCGTGTTGTGAAGAGGGGCGACGATAGGCTATGTATTCCCGTTCGTCTGCTACGTGGCATTTTGCTGTTCATGCAACAGTAGGTGCATAGTAGCAGGTGTGTATGTGGGTGTGTTTCTTGCTTTAGCATCGACATCGCGAACCAGGTTATCAATGAAAACACGTAAGTCGTTGGCGGGATAATAAACCGCGAACACGTTGTCTAATCGAAGGGTTCTACCGACCGGGGCGAGTGCACGTGTGTGTTTCTTTGATTAACCATCTAGCGCGACCAAAAAGCGCGAACACCCTTTCTAGTCATCGGGTTCCCCCGACAGGGGGGCGTCGCGGAGGAGATTGGACGACAGGGTCGTCCAGTCTCTGGTGTGCGTGTGTTTTTGTCTCTGGTTGGCTACATATTCTTGCTATCGTCTCTGTCGAGGTTTTACGTGTTCCCTCAGTTGTCTGTAGCGCGGAACGACAAGGTATCAACCAGGTCATGGAGTAAGCGGTCCTTGCGGGTGTCTCCTCGCCGCGTTCGTTCGAGCTTAACTTGCAACGACACCGTCTAGCCGTCAATGACACCGAACGCTACGAACACGGTTGACGCGGGACACTGGTGGATCGAGTGCATCATTTTGTACCACCCTCTTGGCGTGCTCCCTCTCGAGCCAAACTCTCGGCGTTGCCACCTGGCGTTCCCCAAAGAAAAGCCGTGCAGTACGTACTTCCGTTCCCGACGCTTCTGCTGTGATAACCCTCTGTTCTTGGCGATGCGCCTCCCCTCCGTCTGCCCACTGCATCTCCTTCTCGCACCCCCGTGTAGCTATCGGCGTGCCTGGCCTACCTCCGTGCGAGCTACTCGTACTGCATGTACTGCGCCTGCCGGTACGAAGGTCCGCGAGATCTGCAGGACTCGTGCCCCGGGCCTAGCCGGAGCGATCACGACGACGAAGAGATGTAAATAGCAGTAGCAGTGCAATGGCACAGCAGAAGATCACCGAGAGGACAACATACAAGCAGGGGGGCTTTTTTGTGCGGAGGGTCGTCGAGCCGCCTGTTTGCTTACCTCTGCGGCGTTTCGTTCATTTTTTGTGGTGCAAAAACACGTCGAGTTCATCGCTATCCGCAGCCAAGAGTCGTTGGCATGGTGGCTCTGATTTGCCTTCGCATGTCTCCCATGTGCAATGGTGGCATGGTTCGCCTTAGCATGCCTCCATGTGGGAAATGCGCATTGCACGGTACGCCCATGACAGCCCAGTAGAAGTTAAAGTTACGACAGGTTGACGAAGGAGGCGTTTGTTCGTGAGACAAACAAACAACCCACACCTTCACCTTTATCTGGGAATAGCGAGAGGTGAATTTCCACTTGGCACTGCTGTTGCTGGTCGTTGTTTGGAGCCGGCGTTGCCTATCTCAGGTACACCTCTGGGTGCCATGAACCATTTTTGCAACACAACAGCGGACTCCAGCACAACGCGGGCTTCCTTGGTAGCCATTCTATGCGCATTGTTGTCATGAAGTAACTCATTCATCTATTGGCCCCATCTTTCGGCCCATGGTGAATGATGTAGACTTCTCTCTTGAATATAGCTGCATATTACCACACGAGTGCCAGGAGCACGCAAAAGTGGCTGGGGGTTACCGACACTCGAGACAACACCCGAAAAGGAGAGAGAAGCAAAATAAACAGAAAACAAGTCTATCTATAAATTATTTTCGCTAGCGCGCGTGTTTGCTTGTGTGAGCTGGAGCTCGTGGCTCCCCCCCAACGCGCGAGCATGTACCCCCCCTCCGCCGGCCCCTGTATTCCTGTTTTACAGAGAGCTACGGCAATCTTTTATCAAGCCCAGACTCCTTTCACGCAAACGAAATATGTACAACTTATATACCACAACTGCAAGCCTACGACGACGACAAACAACTACGATATGTGTCCGAGTGAAATTTTATGTGTCCGAGTGAAACTTCATGCTCCAGGCGACCCGTCCAAGCGCCATCGGTCCACAACACCAGCAGCAACATGAGCACACCCGACGAGACAAACGAAACTGCGGGGAAGCCGGGCGCCAAACACCCCGCCCCCCATCTCATGTTCTGCCCCGGACCCCCCCCTCCTAGTGAATGCCGTCACCACTTTTCCTCCTCCTCTCGCTCTCGCAACCCAACCTCATCGTAACTCCTTTGTTGATATTACCCCGAACTCCTCTCTGTCTCTCTCGTGGCATACAGCTGGTGCCCAGGAAGTGGGCTTCCGACAAGGCCGGGGGGGGGGGCTACCCCTCCCCCCCCACACCCCCCCCCCCC